AAGAAAAAAAGCGCCAAAAAAAAAAAAAAAAAAAAAAAAAAAGAGAGAACATATAAAGTTGTATCAACTACTGTCATGTGGAACTGGATTTGAAGAAAGAGAAGTTAATTTCTTGTATTGCAAATCAATTTTTCCCTCTCCTTTCTCTTTAATAAAAGTTTACTTACATGGACGACACAATTACTTGAAGCATTGCATAGGGCCTTGCGAATTTATAGCAAGTAGATCCGAAATTTAAAACTCTTGCAACTTCCAATTTTGGACAAGCTTCAAGTCGAGCCTTATCAAGTACCGGCTCGGAACCGGCGAATTCAAGTTTAGCGCATGCCTAGAATCATTAGTCCAATTCAAAATGCAAAATGCTTCTGATAACTAATACAAAATACAAGTTGAGCTGATACTACTGTGGCCAACTAACAAAGGTAATCAAAACACAAGAGTAATTATAGTACAAAAAAACAAAAAAAACTAAGAAAAAGCTGGATTAGTGTTTAGGCAAGGAAGGCCTCAACAATATCCTAATTAAAAGTATCGGATCAGCGTAACCCCATGTCTTTGGTGTTAGATGCTTCTGGATTAACTCCTTAAAATTTGGATTATTTTGCATTTGTTCATGTCATCCTCATGCTATGACTTTTTTTTTTCCTAATTGAAAAGAGGTTCAACGGTGTTCTCACGCGCTAGTCCAGTAGGGACTTCGCATGTTGTTGAAAGGATAGGTGAAACAGAAAAGAACTTTGTTCATGCTTTCATCACCTAAAATTAGAATTGATAGGTCGTCCTTCGCCGTTTTATCACCGCCACCAGTGATCTCAGATGCAAAGGAAATGGAAGAAAATAATAATACCAAAGGAATCATAATAATTGTTGTAACAGAAGATTCTTTAAATCTAAACGGAGGAGCAGAATACATGGTGGTCAGTAAAAGAGCAGAACAATAGAGACAAGTTATGATTAAGTCAGCATTCATCAATCGCAAAATCAACTGGCCAGCAAGTGCATAAAATATCACCAAGAACCATGCTTGTTTTATTGAAAGATCCCCTGCTGATATAGGTAAATAAGGTTTGTTTACCCTGAAAAATATCACACATTACGACCAAATAAGCTAAAAAGTTCCCAGCCACCGATTCATGAAAAAAATAATAATAAAAGTGTGAAGCGTGCACTAATTTTTTTTTTTTTAAATTATCAATTTGATTTTAATATTGTTCAAAAACTATTGGAGATGCACGTCATGAACAGAAATAACAACCAAGGCCAATACATTGAAAACAAGATGGTTACAGCCTTTTATTACTCGAAGAACTTTTAACGACGAGTCTGTAAAGGCTTGGTACATATAGTATGAATACTGAGAAAATATGGGTTATAGAAATCATTGTTAGTGTGATATTTTAACTATTATTATTTCGATTTAGATGCTGTTTAAGTAAACAGATTGTTTTGCAGTACAATTGAACAGATGTGTTGATACAAATATTGTTAGTTTACCGATCCATCTCAAAAGCTTAAGCTATTAGGACACTCCCCCTCACGTGTGGGCTAGACAATGGGCAATCGTGTGGGTAAATTAATTAGAAAGCCCAACACGTGAATATTTTAAGCCCGAAATATATTAAAGACCCAACACATGATGACAATTTAAATGAGGATAAAGAGTACAATTACCGGGGTTTGAACTCAAGACCTCCCGCTCTGATACCATGTTAGTTTACCAATCCATCCCAAAAACTTAAGCTATTTAGAGGTGGGCCAACAATAGTTTAATACTTTAACAAATATAGAGAAGCATACCTATCAATATCGGCATCAAAAATCTGATTAAGGCCATTAGAGTAAGCATGCCCAAGAATCATAGCAGTTAAGCATGGGATTGCCTTTAGTAGTAGAGACCATTTAAACAATTGTTTGTTCTCAACCAATATTCTTGCAATGAAAGAGGCCCCAAAAAAAAAAAAAAAAAAAAAAAAAAAAAGAGAGAACATATAAAGTTGTATCAACTACTGTCATGTGGAACTGGATTTGAAGAAAGAGAAGTTAATTTCTTGTATTGCAAATCAATTTTTCCCTCTCCTTTCTCTTTAATAAAAGTTTACTTACATGGACGACACAATTACTTGAAGCATTGCATAGGGCCTTGCGAATTTATAGCAAGTAGATCCGAAATTTAAAACTCTTGCAACTTCCAATTTTGGACAAGCTTCAAGTCGAGCCTTATCAAGTACCGGCTCGGAACCGGCGAATTCAAGTTTAGCGCATGCCTAGAATCATTAGTCCAATTCAAAATGCAAAATGCTTCTGATAACTAATACAAAATACAAGTTGAGCTGATACTACTGTGGCCAACTAACAAAGGTAATCAAAACACAAGAGTAATTATAGTACAAAAAAACAAAAAAAACTAAGAAAAAGCTGGATTAGTGTTTAGGCAAGGAAGGCCTCAACAATATCCTAATTAAAAGTATCGGATCAGCGTAACCCCATGTCTTTGGTGTTAGATGCTTCTGGATTAACTCCTTAAAATTTGGATTATTTTGCATTTGTTCATGTCATCCTCATGCTATGACTTTTTTTTTTTCCTAATTGAAAAGAGGTTCAACGGTGTTCTCACGCGCTAGTCCAGTAGGGACTTCGCATGTTGTTGAAAGGATAGGTGAAACAGAAAAGAACTTTGTTCATGCTTTCATCACCTAAAATTAGAATTGATAGGTCGTCCTTCGCCGTTTTATCACCGCCACCAGTGATCTCATGCAAAGATTACGCACGGTGATTTTTTTTTTAAATATATAT